TTGTCTACCATTGATCTTGTTGTGCAAGCACTCTACCCTCAGTCCAAAAGGAATAACAATCTTAAATGAGCATTTAATATTTCTTTAAGATTCCAAGGAGAAAAACTCAACTAATCACAAAAATGGCAACATAATATGACTCAATGTAAAGAAGAAACTCAACACTTATTAATTCAAAACAAAATTTCTGTTGACCTAATAATCAATGTTACCAAATAAGGACTTAATTTCTTCAAATGGATATTAAGAACCTACCACATGTCAAGCAATAAGCTGTACCAAAATGAGTAAGACAGTCCCCAACTCCTTAAAAACATACAGATTAGCAAAGAAAACAGACAAATTAATCACTAGTTATAATTCCATGTAGTAAAATCTATGAGGTGAGCACTAGGTGCTGTTCGAGACTAGAATGGGCACCTTCATCAGGATTAGCTCATAGCTTCTCAAGTACCTTCACATCACCTTCCTAGGAGCAAAGCCAACTCTTCACTCAGTTACCAGTGGTTTGGGAATCAAGGAATGGTACTATGTAGTATTATTTATTTTCATGATCAATGACTTTTACTCTTCATCAATGATCAGAGGGGATTACTGGACCACATACATAGCACAGAAAAAGCACTCATCGGGAAACTCAACCTGTTTGTAAAAATTATACATGGTCCAATTGCAATGTGGTATTCTGGACTGGGTTATGGGACAGAACATGAGTGGAAAACTTCTAAAAGAACATGAGTGGAAAAACTTGTAAAATCCAAACAAAGTCTGTAGTTCCACTAATAATCCTGTTAATTTCTTAGTTGTTTAACATCTGTACCATGGTTGTGTAAGAAGTTAACATTAGGAAAAGCTGGCCAAAGGTATACAGAAACACTCTGAACTTTCTTTGAAACTTTTCTATAAACTTAAAATTGTTCCACAATTTATTATTTTTTTGTTTTTACTTAAATATGGTTTCTTACGTAACATCCTTACTTCTCCTTGAGATCATGCCTCTTAATCACTGCCTCAACTCAAATATGCTAGGCTAAATATTTTTTTAGAAAATCTTTTTCAACTCCTTCCTGTAAACCATTTGCACAGCCAGGCTGGGTTTCCTTCTTCACCAAGACATAAAAAGCTAGATCATATTTGGAAGGTTTTAGATGCTTTCTCTTCCTAATAGCTTGAATATATATCAGGGGGTATATATTCTTGGATTTGAACTGCCCAAAGAGGACAGACCAGACTCCACTAATGTCATAAAATCGAATCTGTCATATGGCATGTTGACTGTAATAATAACAGTACTGACCTGGACCACTTCCAGAAAGATGAACAGGTGAAATAATTTCTCTATAATAATTCAATTCACAAATCTCTATTTAATGACCTACCACAGTTTAACTGTTCACAAGCCTTTCTCCAATATAGGACTAAGGTCTTAAAATGTAACTAGCACATTGCCTAAGGCAAAATGGGTCCTCAATAAACGCTTTGTGAAAGAAGACACAATAGTAATCTACCTTTGAGATCCTTTTATAAACCAATTAAATATCCAGACCTAGTAGAGCATGCTGTATACCATGCTACCACATTTAGGAGGCAGTCAAGTTACCTGAAAAACAATTAATAGCAACTAATGTTTGTTCGGAAAAAAAAAAAAAAAAAGTCATGAGTCATAAAGATCAATGTAAAAATTTTAACTAAAAGTGTCATAAAGATCAATGTAAGGGGGTTGGGGATGTAGCTCAGTGGTAGAGTGCTTGCCTCTCATGCACAAAGCCCTGGGTTCAATCCCCAGCACCACCACCAAAAAAAAAAAAAAATCAATGTAAAAATGTTAACTAAAAGTAAAGAGATACCTCTAAATTAATTTTGTTTCCCTTGAGGGCCACAAACATGAATCCACCTATAACTTTCTAATATTGAGAGGACACTGAATCCTAACCACTAGACTACCAAGGATCACCAACTTTCCAACACTATTAATACAAAACTTTAAGGACTCTTTGATTATCCATAATACTTTATAAAGAATTTGTTATCAACTCAAATTGGTAAATTAGTCCAATTAGTGCATGGGGGAAGTCCAAGCCAAATTATATGTTCACAATGTGGGTCCAATGCTTTGATTCTTTTTCTTCAAAACTGAAGAAAAATACAAAATAACCCTCTTGACTGCTAAGAATTACAATAATTTCTCTTCCTTACAAGTATGTACCTGAAAGCCATTCCCTCCTGCTTCGATCCAACACAACCAACACCACCTCTTCTCTTCCCATTCCTATCAAAGAATGTTAGAGAGTATCCAAGTAGTTTAATCTCAGGCTATAAGAATCTCAGATTTCAACAAAATTACAATGCAGCAAAAACATACCTTTCTAAGCATGTTCTCATCCCCCATGGTATTCCCACACTAATTTAGCTCCCTATCAAATATTAATAAGGAAATAAGAAAACTCTCAGAACAAACATTGCAAACCACTTTTTAAAAAATTTTTATATGAGTTCCAAAAATCAGGGGACCTAATACCAAGGAAGTGTTTTCCATCAGTGCCTGAATTTAAATGCAAATTACTATTCAATCATATGCAATTGTTCCTCTGAATGAAATATATACGCTGCAAAAACAAAACAAAATGTTTAGAAACTGATTAGTAAATTACCAAATCAGTCTCTAAATGTTTCACTTTGTTTCTGCAGTGCCAGAGATTGAACCAGGATCTCTGAGCTGCAGCCCAGCACTGAGATACAAGCCAGCACTGAGATACATCCCAGCACTCTGAACTGACTTAAAAATAACTGGCAATATTTACTTTAAAAGCTTACTGCCCCGGGGCTGGGGATGTGGCTCAAGCGGTAGCGAGTTCGCCTGGCATGCGCGGGGCCCTGGGTTCGATCCTCAGCACCACATAAAAATAAAATAAAGATGTTGTGTCCACCAGGAAAAAAAAAAAAAAACAACTAAAAAATAAATAAATAAATATATTTTTTTTAAAAAAAAAAAAGCTTACTACCTAATCACCAAGAGGTTCTAATGTATCAAAAAAAAAAAAAAAAAAAAAAAAAAGGTTGCTATTAGCTCTACCCATGAATGACAGTTTGGCACAGACAAGCTGTTCTGAGAGATTAAGACCGTCTAGTGACTTCAAATGGAGTAAAGCAAAAGGTACATACAGAATCTGTAGATATTCTAATAATAAAACTACTTCAACATCAGAAGTTCAGAGCCTACAAATATGCAAACCACAAAGCAATCTAAATCATGCATGCTTAAAGGAGAAAAGAGAAGCAGGACAAACAGTAGGTCTACATTCAAATCAACACGAGAAACTGCCCCGCAACTGAGCTTCTCAAGACCTGAAAAACTGATGAGAAAAAGGTTTTGAGGCTTATCAACATATTCAAGTTCCAAAATAGTGGAACTACATATTAAAATAAACCCAGCATAAAATTCTAATTCTACCACAGTTGGAAGAATTGTGTCGGAACAACACGGAATAGAAAACACTTGGTAAATTTACTTTGTGGTAGTTATTTTTCTAGGTACTTCATATTATAAATGAGGATAATAAGTCCTGATAACATCTCTGTAAGGCAGGTACTGTTATGATTATCTCAATTTTTCATATGAAGAGAGTGAGACACAGATTAACTTGTCCAATGTCATGCATCTAGTAAGAGGCATAAATTTTTTTAAAAAACCCATCAGTCAGATTCCAAGTTCCTATTAACCAATATATTGTCTTATAATAAGAGTTATACAATGGTCACTTTTTTCTTTAACCTGAAAACATTTGGGGCTCTCAAATGTTTGTATTATCTGAGATGTATCAAGCAATAAGAAAAGCACAGGTGGGGCTGAGAGTATAAGCTCAGTGAGAATGCATTGCTTACCAAACACAATCCCCTGGGTTGGACACCTAGCACCATTAAAAAAAAAAAATGCAAAGGAAAGCAAAGCATAGGCTTTGGGATCAAACAGACCCCTAAATAAAGCCTCCGCCTCAGCTTCCCCATACCTAAAATGAATGTACTTAAGTTATTGTGAAGGTCAAAAGATAAGTAACATAGAGCATCAAGCGATAAGTACAGTACATATACAGTACACAATATAGGGGTTCTTAGTATGAAGTTTCCAAACACTTGAATGGTCCAGAGATACACTTCATAGTATATGAGTCTTTTAAATTGTAAGGGTGCTGCGCACTTCAGCTCATTTTTGAAAGAACTGTGCCTGGCTTTCCACAAATTTTCACGGGGTATGAATGAGCTCCAAAAGATAAAGACCCACAAGCGTACATAACAGATACTTGCGGGGTACGCTACCTTTCCCTTCTTGTTCTCACAAATTCTCCCTTTTCCCTCAAGGAAGGCATGCCAAGCCTTCACAATAAATGCCAGTTGTTTCCCACCATATTCTTAGCTTAAGGAATAATAATATATACAAGTTTACGTCCCAGTTTTCCAGAGAGAGCCTAAAGAAGGCCCTCAAGCGCTTCTTCATCACTCTTTGCCTGGACGAATAAACTGTTTATTCGAGAAGAAAGGTCCTTGTAAGGTGCACGAAGCACCTTGAGGGCTAGGAAACCCGACTAGGAACCGCAGCCTCAGGACTGGAGAACGGAGACCTGATGCCCCAGCGCTGGGCTATAAGGACAGGTGTTTCCTCAAACTACTGGGCAACCCAGGATTCCGACTCGCAACACTTGTCCTCTTTCTGGGAACTTTGGTGCAGGCAGGTTTGCTGGGATCTGCTTCGGGCAGGATGAGTGGAGAGAAACGTTACCCGAGCTACGTTGCAGCTAAATTTCAGCTGAGGTGTCCTGGGAAGCGGCAGCAGGATTCAACCGAAGATAGACCCTCAAGTAATCCGACAAGAGCCCCCAGAGCTGTCTCTGCCGGAGCTAAGAGCCGGCTTGGGGTTTTTCCGTTTCTCAAAGGGGCTTCCGTTTCCGGGTTATCCTTCGTCGGAAGCAGTATATAGATGTCGTAAAAGTGTCGTGTAATTGGTGTATTCGGAAGAACGGGTGTGCGGCTTGAACATGGTGAGAAGAGGGTCTGTCGGAGCCTTATATGGGGGGAATAGGAAGGACTCAGAGCTTGACCCCATTTCTTTTTCCTTACACTTCCCTTGTTTATTTGCATTCGGAACTTAGTTCTTAAACGGCTCTGAACCGAGCTTGTTGTGCTTTAAGGAGTGAGGAGAGGGGTTGGGTGTTTGAAGGAAGAAGAGAATGGACAAGAGAAAAAGTACTTTAAAAAGATAAAATGTACGCTTTTAACTCTAAAATTTCTATTTCAAGGGAAAGCAAAAGAAAACAAGAAAGTATGCGACCATGAAGCGAATGCTTAGTCTCAGAGATGAGAGGCTGTGAGTGTCCAGAATCTTTTGAGTTCTTAAGACTGCCCAGAGATAGAGAAGTCACGAGGGGATAAGTAGCAAATATTTTTGTTGTTTTGTTTTCTCTTATAATATTGTGTCTTAGATTTGTGTCGCAGGAGATAATAGTCAGATGTGTAATAGTCACCGCGCTGCTGAGCGACTTTGCTGGGAAAGGCCATGGGAAATAAACATTTCTTAAGTGTTCACTTTGTTCCGCTCTTGTTATGTGCTTTGTCACATTTAAACATCATAACAATTGTGTGATGTAGACACCTTTATGTTCTTACCATTACATTGCTACATTCCCCAGAAAAAGATGTTTGTTGTCCTTGAAAGATGGTGAAGTCAAAGACCATGTGTTCAGCACTTGACACTTAAACTTTTTTGAAAGAGAATGAGAAAACTCCCAAATGACTCCATGTTATAAATCTTATATGAATCCAGATCACTGTGGAAGAAAAGAATAGAGAGAAATTCTCTATTATAAAGAGGACCTAAATAGTTGTTCTGCTTTTGTCAAGACTGGATAGGTTATTAAATAAGGACTGGTCTTCATTGTTTTTAAATTTCACAAAAACAGAATGGTCATGAGAGCCTCCAGAGTTAGTCTTCCAAGCCTTTGATGTGGATTTATTAGGGACTGAAGATGTAACTTAGTGATAGAGCACTTGCTTAGCATGCATGAGGCGCCTTCACTTTGATCTCTAACACCAAAAAAAAAAAGGCAAGCCATTGGTGTGGATTAATTATGTCCTTTATAGGAATGAGGCCCCACTGATAATTTCTACTTACAGTTAAATTTTGTATATGTCTTGTGATTTAGCACCATCTCCCCTTTTTTTTTTTTTTTTTTCCCATACTGGATGCTTTACCATTGAGCTACATCCCTTTATTTTGAGACAGGAACTTGCTAAATTGCTGAGGCTGGCATTGAACTTTGCAATTCTCTGCCTCAGCCTTCCAAGTAACTGGGATTACAGGAATATACCACCATGCCCAGCTGTCTAACCCTTTATAAGAAGCATTTGGGAAAACGCCATTCCCTATCTACTATTAAAACATTTGAGTCATCAGAAGATAAATATCAACAACTTCTTTGCTCACTTCTTGGGAGGGATTTTGGTCCTTGATATGAAAACTTCTTGCTAAGAAAGACACTATAGTTTAACCAACATTTACCCATTAACAGTTTTTTGGATTATTGGTTTTACTGAATAATTTTGATAGTTCCAGACTACTTTCCACTACAGTTATTTGCTCAGAAAGTGTAGGCTGATATTAACATAAAAATATAACAAAATAGGATTTGCTCTGTAGGAAAAAAATAATGGAACTTTTTAATGAGCTAACTACTGTAATATTTTTCATCTCTCCTGTATTAACTTTTTTTTTCCCCCAGTAAAGAAAAGGATAGATTAAAACCAAAAAAGAAACAAAAGAAAGATCCCAGTGCACTGAAGGAAAGAGAAGTGTGAGTAATCAAAAACTTTAAGTTTTCTTTTAAACCTGAAAGGGACAGTCCAAAACCTCTTAGAAATCCAGGCTTTCCATAAGCTGATTTACTCAATCATTTGTTAGTAAGTCTGACACATTATGCAAATAAGAGTGGTATTGCTGAGCATACACTGATGCCAGTGGTTTGAAGGCTTTGGGATTTCATGGAGCTGTAAGATTTCCCTAAAATCCTGGGAATATAATCTGAGAGTATTAGGATTTTTGTTTGCCAAGAATCTTTTAGAAGACATAATTACCATTGTTTAACACACCAGCATTTCATGAAATAAAGATTGTTTTAAAAAATAAATAAATACTAATGAATAAATAGTATTTTCAGAATAAGGTCATTTCTTTTAATAAATATATTTAACTTTACAAAAGCCTTACTGCATTTTCTTTGTTTTCTCAACCTGGTTCATGGACTAGTATTTAAACATTTGGGACTTGTAGATGAGAAAAAGGCCCTGCTGTATTACATAATCCTAACACTGGACAAACTGTTCTCTTAGACCACATTTTGTACAACCATTTAGGATCCTATGAGAATAGCAAACTTGGTGTAGTATTATTCTGATTAAGATATCAGTATTCTACCACTTGTGTCCATGGTTACTCTGCTTCTGATAGAAAAAGATCTGTGTTGAATAATTGCTTTTTTAAATCTGTGGCAAAACATGCTAGTGTACAATTAAGATAAGCTTTCACAGGATGGGGTTGTGGCTCAGTGGTAGAGCACTTGCCTTGCATACGTGTGGCACTGGATTCAATCCTCAGCACCACATTAAAAAAAAAATAAAGTTAAAAAAACAGATAGAATTTTAAAAAGAAATAAGCTTTTTACTTTCTTCCTTGCTTTCCTGTTTAGAACTTATTCCCAATGAATAAGAGAAAAGGAACTTAATCTATAGTGAACTATCCTCAGCAAAGACTTCATTTTCATTTTTTGTTCATACCAAAATATCAATGTAGACTTAACTTTGTGTTCTTATTTTTCTTTTTATTTCAGCCCCCAACACCCTTCCTGCTTATTCTTCCAATATAATACACAATTGGGCCCACCTTATCATATCCTGGTTGATACCAACTTTATCAATTTTTCCATTAAAGCCAAACTGGACTTAGTGCAGTCAATGATGGACTGTCTGTATGCCAAGTGTGAGTAACATACTTTTACATTTCTTTGACATTTGTTCAGAATAATCATATTTATCCAAAAATATGAAAGAAGGAGATAGGATTTGCGATGAATGAATTGCCATTTAATTTGCAATGGTTATCATAGAAATGACCATTTTTAATGAAATGTTAAGCATACATGACTAGAAGTAATTGAACTTTCACAATTCAGAAAACAGTGCTTTGGCCATCATTATGGATATCAATTCTGAACATAGAAAGGGAATTTTATGTTTTAGAATTTGGGATTTTAAAATTCTAGGTATATTAAAGTGTATTATAATTTTTCAGTATATACATTCTTTTATATTAAGGAGTGTAGAAAATCTACAGACATTTTGTCATTTACAATCATAGAATCAGAAGTTGGATGATGGTTGATTTCTAAGTTTATTCAGATGTTATTTATTTGTACTAAAACGACCTGAGGTAATATATTTACACCTAGATGTGCAATTTACCATTAATAAAGTTCCCTTGTATACTTGGGTTATCTCCCTTCACACAATTTTCCAACACTACCATGAACAGGCAAAAAAATGTAGGCCATAACTTCCTAATAGTAAGATCTGATAAGTTTAAATTTGTGTATTTTCCAGTCACCTGATAAAAAATACAAATGAAAATTAGGCTTGTACTTTGTCATAAAGAATAAATTACTGGAATAAAAAGGGAAAGTTTATACCTCCTTTAATCTTTTTTTAAATATATTTTTAATTGTAGATGGACACAATACCTTTATTTTTATGTGGTGCTGAGGATAGAACCCAGTGCCTCACACAAGCTAGGCAAGTGCTCTAACACTGAGCCACAACACCAGCCTCCTCTTTTAATTTGTAAAGGATACTATAGACACACCTTGTGTTATTGTGATTTTTAAAATTACACTTCACAACTGGTGTGGTGGCACACGCCTGTAATCCCAGTGGCTCGGGAAACTGAGACAGGAGGATCACAAATTCAAAGCCAGCCTCAGCAAAAAGCAACGTACTAAGCAACTCAGTGAGAGCCTGTTTCTAAATAAAACACAAAATAGGGCTGGGGATGTGGCTCAATGGTTGAGTGCCCCTGAATTCAATCCTTTGAACTCCCACCCCCGCAAAAAAATTACACTTCACAGACATTGCATTTTTTACAAGTTGATGATTTATAACAGCCCTGCATAGAGCAAGTGTTTGAGCACCATTTTTCCTATAATATGTGTCCTCTTGGTAACTCATGATATTTCATATATTTTCCTTATTATTATATCTGTTTTATTAATCGGTGATCAGTGACTTTTGATGATATTGCTGTAAATGGGAACACCATGAACTGTCCCCATATAAGAAGGCACACTCAATCCATAAATGTTGTATGTGTTCTGATTGATCCCAACTACCATTCTACCACCTCTCTCCCTGTCCTCAGGCCTTCCTATTCCCTGAGATATAACATTATTGAAATTAGAATACTTAATAACCCTACAGTGGCTTCTAGGTATTCAAGTGAAAGGAGGAATCATGTATCTCTCCCTTTAAATCAAAAGCTAGATGCTGTTAAACTTAGTGAAGGTGTGTAAAAAGCTGAGACAGGCTGAAAGCTAGACCTCTTGTGCCAAAAGGTAGCAAGAATTGTAAATACAAAGGAAAAACCTTTTAAAGAAATTAAAAAGTGTCAAAGTGCTATTCCAGTGAACACATAATTAGTAAGAAAACAAAACAATCTTTCTGCTGATATGGAGAAAGAAAATCAAACCAGCCACAACATTCCCTTGAGCTAAAACCTAATCCAGAGCAAGGCCCTTACTCTCTTCAATTCTCTGAAGTCTGAGAGAGATGAGGACACTGCAGGAAAAATGTTTGAGGCTAGCAGAGGTTGGATGAGGCTTAAGGAAAGAAGCCATCTTATTAAAATAAAGTGTGAGATGAAGCCTCAAGTGCTGATGTAGATGCTACTGCAAGTGATCTAAAGGACCATCTAAGACTATTGGTGAAGGTGGCTACACTACACAACAGATTTTCACTGTTGACATGATAGCCTTATCCTGGAAGAATATACAACCTAGGATTTAAATAGCTATCAAGAAGTCAATGCGTGTCTTCAAAGGTCAGATTGACTCTGCTATTAGGGGCTTATGTAGTTGGTAACTTTAAGTTGATGCCAATGCTCATTTACCATTCCAAAAATCCTAGGGCTCTAAGGAATTATACTAATCTACTCTGCCTGTGCTCTATAAATAGAACAAAACATGTACAGCCTGAGGAATGAGAAGTTGTGATCCATTTGTGTTCAATGTGTCAAAATGCATTCTACTATCATGTGTAACTAATTAGAACAAATTTTTTTAAAAAGATATACCAATAAAAAAATAAAACAACAAAACCTGGATAACAACACATTTGTTTATAATATGGTTTACTGAATGTTTTAAGCCTTCCCAACAATGATGATAGTTTGCTCTCCAGCTTTCCATCAGCATTTCTCAGATCTCTTAAAAAAAAAAAAAGAAATATATGTATATATATGTACCTGGTGACCCAAGAGCTCTGATAGAGATTAATCTTGTTTTTGTCCACTAGGAGAATATCCTTCTGAAGTCCATGAATCAAGGAGTAGTTTTTTGAATATTTTTTTAATTATACATGGTTACAATATTTTGTTTACTTACTTTTTTATGTTGTGCTGACGATTGAACCCAGTGCCTCACATGTGCAAGGCAAGCACTCTACCACTGAGCCACAGCCACAGCCCTTAAGAAGTAGTTTTGACTTTCAAGTTTATTATTAAGAAATACTTTTAGTAAAGTCCTAACTGCCATTATCTTTTTCTCTGATAGATCTGGACCTTTCCAGATTGAATGAGGTGCCTTTAAGAACACTCATGGGCTGGGGTTATAGCTCAGTGGTAGAGCACTTGCCTAGCATGTGTGAGCGACTGGGTTTGATTCTCAGCACCACATATAAATAAACAAGATAAAGGTCCATCAACAACTAAGATATTTTTAAAAAAGAACATGCATAATTTATGGGAAGAAGTTAAAATATCAACATTAACAGGAGGTTAGAAGAAATTGATTTCAGCCCTCATAGATGACTTTGCGGAGTTCAAGACTTAATGGAAAGGGATGATTATAGATAAGCATGTAGCTGGGTGCTGTAATTGCATACCTATAATCCTAGTTATTTGGGAAGCTGAGGCAGGAATATTGCAAGCTTACATACAACCTGTGAAAGATGGAAGTTATTTTTATTAAAAATGAAAATAGATCTTATTTTTGTTCCTTTCAAAAAAACAGCTCAGTAGTAGAATGCTTGCCTAGCGTGTGTGAGGCACTGGGTTTGATTCTCAGCACCACATATAAATAAATAAAGGTCCATCAACAACTTAAAAATTTTTCTAAAACAGCTTTATTAGGATAATTCATATACTGTTCACAATTTAAAGTGTACGGTTCAGTTTCCTTTATTGTAGTCACAAGAGTTATGCATCATTAATCACAACAATTTTAGAACATTTTCATGACCTGGAGAAAATCCCTGTGCCTGTTAACCATCACTCCACAACCCTCCTTATTCTCCCCATCCCTAGGCAACTACCAATGTTCTGTCTTTATAGATTTGCTTATTCTGGACATTTCTTGAAAATAGAGTCATAATATTTGGTCCTCTTTCATTTAACATATGTTTTCAAGAGTTGTTCATGTTATAGCATATATCACCACTCTACTAAGTAGAAAGTGTTTGTTTTGATTTATATCTCTTTAATTAGGAGTAAGATTGAGCATCTTTATGCTTATTGACCATTTCTATGTCCTAGTCTATGAACTGAAATATAGCTTGGCAGTTAAGATCCCTAGTGTAAGGGTTGGGTATAGCCCAATGGTAGAGCACTTACCTAGTCTACATGAGGCCCTGGATTTGATTCTCAGAACTGCAAGGAGGAAGAAAAAAAAAAAAAAGATCCCAGAATAGACTATCCAAATCTTGACTTCACCATTATCTATCTAGTTACTTTTTTGCATCTGAAGATCCTTATCTATAAAATAGGAATGATGATAATTATGACAACAATGCTACCTGGTAGGTGTTATTATGAACACTAGAGTGAGACAGTTCTTATAAAGTACTTAGCACAGTGTCTGGCAAATAGTAACAATTACAAACTATTATTATAATAGCTGAGATATTTCATTTATAGGAATACATTAAGAAAATTAGCCCTTTTGACAAATGTGTAAAAATATTTTTCCCACCTTATTTTTTCGTCTGCTGTGGCTTTTGGTAGTTGTCAAGTTTTCTTTTATTTGTGTGATTAAATTTGTGTTTTTTGTTTAATTTCATGGCTTAAATTTAAACATTTTTTCCATCTACAAATTACAGAAAAATAATAACAGGATTCGGCTTAATTTTTTCCCCAGCATTTATGACAGGTGCTTATTAAAGTCTATGGCATGTCTTTGTGACAATTCCCTAGTTGCTTTATAAATAGGGATTTTTAATTTGTTATTTTTAGTTATACATGACAGTCTTCTCTAGATCTTAGCTGTTATTCCAGAAGTTTCTTGGATCTATTAAAGACTGACCAGGACATAATTCACATAACTTATCCACAAGTTCTGTTGTTAACTTTTTTGTATTTTTTCCTGGCAGGTATCCCTTGTATAACTGATTGTGTAATGGCTGAAATTGAGAAATTGGGGCAAAAATATCGAGTGGCTTTAAGGTAAGAAGGATCTAGTCTAGTTTTATTTTAGATTGGTATACTGAAGATTCTTTTATTTTTTTTATATATATATTTAGTTGTAGATGGACACAATGCCTTTATTTTATTCATTTATTCTTATGTGGTGCTAAGGATTGAACCCAGTGCCTCACATGTGCTAGGCAAGTGCTTTACCACTGAGCCACAACACCAGTCCTTGGTATAATGAAGATTCTTTTGACCCTTCTTCATCTCTTTGCCTTCCAAAGAGTGATTGACCAATTAGACAAAATAAAAATTAAACAAAACTTTTATGATTTTAAAAATTAAATAAAGTTTAAAAGATTTTAAGCTCAACCTCTTTGAACAAAGCTACTTAGTCATATTGATCTTGTGACTCCTTTTAATTTCCTCTCAATTTTTCCATTAGAAGTTATTTATTAGTTTGTTTTAAAGACATCTCTTTCAGTATCTCACACTTAAAATGTACACATTTAAAGTTTTGAGTTTACTCTAGAAAATTGAATTTAGAACTTTGAATTTAGAGTAGGCATTCTCAACATGTGTCCATGGACTTCTGAGTCCCAGAGACTTTGGCACAAAACCTTTTATTCACAAAACTCATTTTATAATAATAGAGCCATTGTTTTTGTCACTGTGTTGACATTTGCACTGATGACATTGCTTATGCCTTAGTATGAATCAAAATAATGGGCTCCTACAAGGCTAGTAGCCGTTGTATTCCTCACTGCTCTTCACTGGCAGTTTTTTTTAAAAAAAGCCAGAGTTGCTTAAGAATGTCCTTGAAACTAGCTATAGTGGCACACACCTATAATCCCAGTGGCTGGGAAAGCTGAGACAGGAAGATCGCAGGTTTAAAGCCAGCCTTGGCAACTTAGCAAGACTCTCTATTAAAAATAAAAAGGAAATGGCTGGGAATGTAGCTAAGTGGTAGAACATCCTAGGTTCAATCTCCAGTGAGGCAGATTCCTTAATGAAGCAGTAAAATTTAACTTCATTATATCTTGACCTTCAAATACACATCAGTGTTCTTTGTGATGAAATGTGATACATACACAGAGCACCTCTGCTACTTACCAATGGACAAAAGTTATCTCAGTGAAAAGTGTTGTGTGTGTGTTTGAGTTGGGAGCTGAACCAGCTGGTTTTTCATGGAATGTCATTGTTTCTGTGAAGGAACAACTGATAAACACTGGTTATTTAGACTTTGTTATTTGGCAAGCATTTTCTCAAAAATTAACAGTGGTGTCAGGCATGGTGGCACACACCTGTAATCCCAGTGGCCTGGGAGGCTGAGGCAGAAGGATCACGAGTTCACAGCCATCCTAGCAAAAGCCAGTTGCTAAACAACTCAGTGAGATCCTGTCCCTAAATAAAATACAAAAAAGAGGTGGGGATGTGGCTTAGGGGTCAAGTGCCCCTGAGTTCAATCCCTGGTACCAAAAATAAAAATAAAAATAAAAAATAACAGTGGTGGCCGGGGCTGGGGATGTGGCTCAAGTGGTAGCGTGCTCGCCTGGCATGCGTGCGGCCCGGGTTCGATCCTCAGCACCACATACAAACAAAGATGTTGTGTCCACCGAAAAATAAATAAATAAATATTTAAAAAAAAAACAGTGGTGAACACATCACTGCAAGGAAAGCAACTTACCATATCAGTCACCAGTGATAAAATTCAAGCTTATGGTGAGCTTATCACATCCTCAATATTAAAGACCTTCTTATTGTTCTTATTGAGACCAGTGGAGATAACAGGTGTGATGTTTTTTCATAACGTATAATGAAAAGTACCAGGGCTGGGGATGTGGCTCAAGCGGTAGCACGCTCGCCTGGCATGCGTGTGGCCCGGGTTCAATGCTCAGCACCACATACAAAGATGTTGTGTCCGCCTAAAAACTAAAAAATAAATATTAAAAAAAAAAAAAGTGCCAATAGTTGGAAAAAGCAACATACCTCAACTAATGAGTGTTTTCTAAGTGACTTATGAATGATGTCACAAAATCATGCCATGGCTAAAAAACATGTTCAATAGACCAGTGTATTATTTTTGTCACCTTTATGGAGATATAATTTCTATACGATAAAATTCACTAATTGAAATTGTATAATTTGGTGAGTTTGGCATACGTATATAACAATAGGACTTCTATTATAGTCAAGAAATAAAACATTCCTGTCTAGAAATTTTATTTGATTTATAGGAATTCTAGAAAAGGCAAAACTAGAATAGAATACAGAGTAGTGGTTTCCTGGAGCCAAGAGTAGGAGCGGGGATTAACTGCAAAGAGGCATGAGGCAGCTTTTTGTGGAGAAGAAAATGTTCTATTTCTCAGTGGTGGAAGAAGTTCCATGGATATATAAGTCTGTTAAAACTTATGCAAGCATATCTCTATAACTAGAGATTTCTATTATATTTCATTGATATAAAAAAAGATGATTTTTTAAAGGCAAAAGAACAAATGGAACATCTTAGATAGTATTGTTTAGGTCAGTAGGAAAGTAATAAATTACTAAAATACTGATTACATCTGTAGGAAGAAAGAAAAATTGGATCTTTATCTCACATAAAAATCAATTCCAGGTAGAGGAAATATCTAAACTTTTAGTAGAAAATATAAAGAATATCTTAATGAGCTGAGGGTGGGTAGGACTTCCTCAAGAAGTCCAAACTATAACAAAATTAATCAATTTGACTATATGGAAATTGAATGCTTCTTTATAACAAAAGATACCATAAGCAAAATTAAGACAAGCCAGAGACATTGAGAAGATATTAGTAACACATGTAATGAACAAATGGCTTATTTTCAAACTGTATGAAGAACTTCTATATATATCTAAGAAAAAGACAAATAATCCTTAAATTCACAGTGAGATGCCATTTCATACTCATCAGGTTGGCAAAAACAAATTAAATCTGCTTGGCAATGCCCAAAATAGTTGAGTTTGTATAACAATGGGAATTCTCATGCTCAACTACTATTGCTGTCAATGTGACATGACTTTGGAGAGCAATATGGCAATATCTGGTAAAATCAAGGTTGTCCATGCTGTTCCAACACTGTCTTTCAACCTAGAGATCATAGTCTGTATGTTGTGAAATCAGTTTAATGAGTCACAACTAATATTGTTTTTAATGTAATAGAATGTTAGCATGCCTTGCATGAGGTAAGAGTTGAATTTGAATACTGTTTCACAAAACTCTTTTCACTTTTATAAGCTTGTGTATAAAAGTGCAAAGTGAGTGCTAGTAAACTGCATTCATACTGTGGCTTCTGGTAATACAGAAAGGCACTGCCATAAAGAAACTCACACAACAATTGTAGAGTCAAGTTTTGGAATTTTCTTATGTAATAGCAAAAAATTATAGGTAGCCAAAGGTCCTTTAAGGAGAGAATGGACAAATTATGGAATGTTCATGAATAAAATACTATATAGGAGTGAAAATGGGTGAACTAGAGTTATAATTGTCAATATAGATAAATCTCAAAAGCATTATAAAACAACCAACCAAGAGCATACATTTATCTAAAGTTTAAAAACATGCAAGCCAATATTACACTCTATATAGGTATGTACATATGAAATCTTACATCTGTAGTAAAGTGTGTGGGGATGATAAATATAGAATGAAATTCAGCATAATAATTATTTGTAGTGGGGTAGGGAGGGACTGGGGATTGAACTCAAAAATACTTTACCACTGAACTACATCCCCAGCCCTTCTTATTTTTTATTTTGAGACAGGTTCTTGCTAAATTGCTTAGGGCCTCAGTCTCCCAACTCGCTGAGATTACACCACTGCACCTGGCTCTTTAATGAAAATTTAATCTTCATCCATTTTTGCATATCTGAAATAATTCAAATTAAAAGGGGAAAAGAGGTAATTATTTTTAAATAATATAAATAAATAGCGGGAGGCTGGAGTTGTAGTTCAGCAGTAGAATGCTTGCCTTACATGTATGAGGAACTGGGTTCAATTCTCAGCACCACATATAAATGAGCAAATAAAATAAAGGTCCATCAACAACTAAAGAAAATTTAAAAAAATAAATGAACTGTGGGAGAGGGAGGGAAATATGGGCACAAGTTTGTTTATGTAGAGAAACAAATGGGGTGTTAGCTAAAAGGAAGGGCTAATTAAATTTTTTTTTTCCTTTTTTATGATGGGAAAGTACTAGAGCATGTTGGTCTGTCCCCAGAAAAGAGCCAGTTAAGAAGAAGAGATAATTCCAAAAGTGAAAGGTGTAGCCAAAGAGCCAAGTCACAAGACTGTTGCCTACATCTTTTCTCAGCTACCAGCCTGTCTTCCTTCTAGTGTATCCTCCTTACCCAGCATGCTAATTCTTCCCATGATAGAACTTGGTTCATATCACTCTTCCCTCAGAAATCTCTTTTGGGCCAGGTGTGGTGCTGCATGCCTGTAATCCCAGCTGCTCAGGAGGCTAAGACAGGAGGATCACAAGTTCAAAGCCATCCTCAGCAAAAGCAAGGTGCTAAGCAACTCAGTGAGACCCTGCTTCTAAATAAAATAAAAAATAGGGCTCGGGATGTGACTCAGTGGTCAAGTGCCCCTGAGTTCAATCCCAGTGCCCTACCCCACAAAAAAAAAAAAAAAAAAATCATTTTTGGTACCAGGGATTGGTACCCAGGGGTGCTTAACCACTGAGCCACATCCCCAGCCCTTTTCTATTTTGAGATAGGGTCTTGCTGAGTCGCTTAGGGCCTCACTAAATTATTGAGGATAACCTTGAACTTGGAATCCTCCTGTCTCAGCCTCCTGAGCTACTGGGATTACAGGTATACACCACTTTATTTAGCCCTTGCCTCAGAAATCTTATACTAACTCCCACCACCTTTGTCATGAAGCTCACACTCCTCAGCTGGCATTGGAGATTAGCCTTATTTTACCCTCCTCTCCATAAACACTTCTCCGCCAGATGTGCTCACTCTTTCCTGATCAGCAGCAAACATTTTATTGTTGGATGGTGCCCTGTTTGGAATATGCCTACCCTCATTTTGCTTGGTATATTCTTTCATCTTCATTTTATTCATCTCCATGTCTTTTTCTAAATTATCCAGCCCACATTGATCTAGCACTGAACTACTGCAATATGGAGTATTTTTGTTGCGCTTGGTACCTGTGTGCTACCTTGTATTTTTATCCATTTCAGTGACTCATCATCGTTGTGTAACAGAAAGAACAGAGCCCTAGGAATCACCGACTCAGGATTTTTCCTTTTTCAGATTTATATGAAAATAATACATTTTAATGCAAACAGAATAAATATACAGATAATTAAAGAGTCCTTCTCCACATTCACACTTTGACCATTTTCCTATCCTCAGAGTGATAATTAAAAAATCTTAGTGTACATATTTTTTCAGACCCTTTTCTATGCAATGTGAGTCTAGAGAAAGAATACCTGAGAAGGGAATTTTTATTTTCTTAATTTAATCGTGTGTTCATTCATACTTTTATATATGCATTTTTGCTTATATATTGTTCGTTGGCCTCCTATGTTTACTGTACAGTTTAGTATAGGTCCTTCCACATTCATACAGATAGCTCTACCTCCCTCTTTTTTTTTTTTTTTTTTTTTTTTTTTAATAGGACAGGGGTACCCAAATATCTTAACTTTACCTTGTTGCTGGATATTTAGAGTGCCTTCTTTTTTTACTGTTATAAACCACACTGTAATTCCCATCTTTGTGCCTGTCTTCTAGTACATTTGTATAAAACAAATGAACTGTCAAATTAATTTGGTTTTGAATCCTGGCTTTTCCCAACTATGTAGGTTTAAGCAAGTTAACTTCTCTGAACCTGCTTCTTCTTTAAAATGGAAATATAATTCAGACTTCTGCGATGATTAATTGACTGCAGGCATACCACCAGTTATCAGTCAGCAAGCTTTGACTCCCAGCTCTGAAAGGTGTGTTTCTAGTTAAAAGATAAGCTTCAGAAGGAGAAGGTGCCTGAAAATCTGCAGAGGTCATGTTGCTTTCACTTCACTAATTGAGGCACAGGAGATTATCCAGTTGCTTGAGTGTTTTCTTTAATCCACTTTTATAACCCTGCAGGATTGCAAAGGATCCCCGGTTTGAACGATTACCATGCACGCACAAAGGAACCTATGCAGATGACTGCTTAGTACAAAGAGTAACTCAGGTATCATAAGTTTTTAAATGTTTACTTCTACTTTAAAACAAAAAAGGTAAACTATTATCTCCTGAATGTTCATGGTCAGTAAAGTATCTAGAAATATAAATTATTTTAAAAATTATATAACATCAATTCACAAGAAGCATAAATTTTCTCATTTACTTGAGAAAGTGGATTGAAAATTTATATTCTAACCATAATGGGAAGAGCACAGGTTGGGGATGAAGCATGGTTTCAAATCTCAGCACCTGCACTGCCTGGGGATGTGATTTGGGTTACACTGGTTATATTCTACTTTTTTCTGTTTGTTTGTTTCTTTTTAATTGGAGCTTTGTAGTTATACATAGTAGTTGGGTTCATCCTGACAAGACTCATACATGCATGGAATTTGATTTCATTTCATGATACCCCTCCTTTTCCCTCCTGCTTTTTCCTTCCGTCCTCCCTCCCCTTTTCCATTCTCCTTCTTCTACTCTACTAAACTTCCTTTCACTCTCTATTAAATTATAATTGATTGATTGTTTTTTTTTTAAGTCACTTTTTTTATTTTTTTGTAGTTATAGATGGACACAATACCTTTATTTTATTTATTTATTTTTATTTGGTGCTGAGGATCAAACCCAATGCCTCTCATGGGCCAGGCAGGTGCTCTGCCACTGAGTCAGAACCCCCAGCCCAGTTAATTGGTTCTTTATGTTAGCCTCCTCTTCCCTCCTCCTTTCCTTTATTGTACTTCACCTTCCATATGTGAGAGAAAACATTCCACCATTGAGTTTGGCTAATTTCACTTAGCATGATATTCTCTATTTCCATCCATCTACTTCATTTTCAAAAGCCACAACTTGATTTTTATGGCTGAATAGAACTCCAGTGTGTGTGTGTGTGTGTGTGTGTGTGTGTATGTGTATGCATATGTATACATACACATCACATCTTCTTAATCCATTTATCTATTGACAGGCATCTGGGTTAATTCCATAATTTAGCTATTGCGAATTATGCTGCTATAAACATTGTTGTGGATATATCATTGTAGTATGCCAATTTTAGATCTTTTGGGAAAATACCAAGAACTGGGATATAGCTGGGTCATATGGTGGTTCCATCCCTTATTTTTTGAGGAATCTCCATAGTGCTTCCCAGAGTGGTTGTATTAGTCTGCAGTCCCATCAATAGTGTACAAGTGTACCTTCTTCTCCACAACCTCACCAGCATTTATTATTGTTGTATTCTTGATCATTGCCATTCTGACTAGAGTGAGATGAAATCTTGGTGTAATTTTGATTTGCATTTCCCTGATTACTAGATGTTGAACACCGTATATTTGTCAGCCATTTGTGTTCCTTCTTTTGAATAGTTTCTGAGTAGTTCTTTTGCATTTATTGGCTGAGTTATTTGGGTGTTTTTTGTTGTTGTTGTTGTTTGGTTCGTTGCTTTTTGGTGTTGAGTTTTTTGAGTTCTATTGTATATTCTAGATATTAGTACCCTCTTGGAGGAGTAGTTGGCAAAGATTTTCTCCCATTCTGCAGGCTCTCTCTTCAATCTCTTAATTGTTTCCTTTGCTGTGCGGAAGCTTTTTAATTTGACAGCATCCCACCTATTTCAGATCAGGTATTATGATGCCTTCTGCTTTGCTTTTCTAGATTAGTATTGCTTTGTCTATTCTGGATCTCTTATTCTTCCAAATGAATTTTTTTTTTTTTTAGAGGGAGAATTTTTTTTAATATTTATTTTTCAGTTTTAGGTGGACCCAACATCTTTATTTTATTTTATGTGGTGTTGAGGATCAAACCCAGTGCCTCTCGCATGCCAGGCAAGCACTCTACCACTGAGCCACAACCCCAGCTCTTGACTATATTAATTTTGCCTATCCAAGAACATAGGATAGCTTTCCCTCTTCTAAGTTTTCTTCAATTTCCTTTTTGAGTGTTCTGTAACTTACATTATAGGGCTTTTTTACCTCCTTGGTTAGATTAATTCCCGAATTTTTTTGTTTGTTTTGTTGGCTGGTCGGTTGGGGTTTTTTGTTTTTTTTGTTTTGTTTTGTTTTTGAGTTATTATGAATGGGATGATTTCCCTAATTTCTTTCTTGACTGAATCATAGAAAAGCTATTGGCTTATGGTTGTTGATCTTGTATTCTACTACTTTGCTAAACTCATTTATAAGCTCTAAAATTCTTCTGGGAGAGATTTTTGAATCTTCTAGATAAAGGATCATATTGTCAGCAGATAGTTTGATTTCTTCTTTTTCTGTCTTTGAATCCACTGATTCTTTATCCCTCAAATCTCTAAAATGGTTTGGGTTTATGTAGATATAATCATATATCAGATTCCACCTCCCTATGATTCTAAAATAAGGTTCCATTTCCTCCTCATGCAGGAATTTTGTCCTTTTCCACCATGCCTAACCCAAAAGTGTTTCTCATTTACATCAAAATCTGTCTCACACTTATCCTGGAATAAGTAGGTTTTGAATTGTTCTATTCTGACCTCCTTGTCAAGTGCCACACGAACTTCTACTACAGGTAACTCTTATAAGAGCCTCTCTTGGGATAGGGGTATAGCTCAGTAAGAGAGCTTGCCTATTATGCACCAAGCTCTATGTTCCTCAGTTCTGCTTAAAAAAAAAAAACTCTTCTCCCTTGCTGAGGATAATCATTTTCATCTGGTGATTGTTCTGTGTCTTTTTAGCCACTTTCTCATAGGTGGGGCCAGCATTGCCCATAATTTCCCACAGCCCAGCAGGCACCACACTGCAACTTTTTGTAAAACTCAATGGAAATTTGGATATGACTAAACTAAGGTACAACACAAAATGTTGCAGCTTTCAGAGATGCTAAGCTCAAACTATGGGTCCTGGATATCCTGTTCTGGGCTCCCAGCCCAAGGAGTAGCCTACCTCCACATTGAGAGGCTTTAAAGCACATCTAAGCCCTGAGATCAGGGAAAGGAGAGAGCTGTGCCCTAAGGTAGAAAAGTCTCTTATATTTATGAGACAGAAAACAGCTTGTGGCTTATAAACAGTTTTTTACCTTCTTCCCCTCAAGATTCTTAGAATCATATTCAGCCTAAGCAATTTATTATGTATTTATAAATATGAGCTCTTAGAGCACAGTAGCTACTCAACAAATTGTTATAGCCTTCCTTTTTCTAGTTACTGTGAAAAATGAATGATTCTTAAGATTAGTCAATAGTTGTGCAATTTTCCAATAGTCATTAAATACACTTAGTGAGCTCTGTATGAACATCAATGGATATCTCTTTCAGCACAAGTGTTACATCGTGGCCACAGTTGACCGTGACCTTAAACGAAGAATCCGGAAGATCCCTGGAGTTCCTATCATGTACATTTCTAACCACAGGTAAGAAATTTCTCTTGGGAAAGTAACTAGAAGAATATAGTTGATGTTAATTTAAAAAGAGTTCAGGCTGGGTGTGATGGCTCACTCCTGTAATCCTAGCAATTTGGGAAACTGAAGCAGGAGGATCCCAAGTTTGAGGCCAGTCTTGCTCTTGGGAGAACTCAAGAGCAACCTAGTGAGACATGGACACAATACTTTTATTTTTTATTTATTTATTTTTTAATGTGGTGCTGCAGATCAAACCCAGTGCCTTCCACAATCGAGGCGAGTGTACTGCCACTGAGCTACAACCTCAGCCCCTCCATATCAATTTTTAAACAATAAATGCAGCAACCCGGGGTTTGGTTTTCCCTAAATGAGGTCAAGTTATAAGGTTATAAAAGGATTTCAAAGAAGTTACTATATCAAATATTTACATGATTGTATTGAAGAAATGAGACAAAGTATCAAGAGCAAGGACAGAAAATAAAGATAGGATTTAGGAATGAAGCAGACACTCAAATTGTTAAATAAGAATAGATACATTGCTTTAAATACAAAGCATTATTTTAAATCAAGCTAATCTTTTTTGGCCAGAAATACCTTTTTGAAAGATATGTTTTTTTTTAAGATTTTTTTTTTAAAGATACTTTGATTAGCACCTCATTTGGGAAACTAATAGCTTATTTAAAAAAAAAAAAAAAAAAAACATTCTTTAGTGTTCTTGTAAGTTTCTGGGTCAAACTATAAATGACCAGCTTTTCAGCAGCTTGGGGATCACAGTGTGGTGAGAATATGGGCTAAGAACTTGGGCTTCCCTGGATTCAGACATTGGCTCCCTTACTTGCTAACTTTGTGAATTTGAAGAAAAAGATAATATAGTCAGTGTTTTGATGTCAGTCACTCATTATGGGATCCCTCTAAAATATTCCCACTGACAGAAGAAATTCATGGTGGGGATAAGTGTTATAATGAGTAAAGGATGAGTTTTTAGATGGGATCTACCCACCTTTCTTACCAATGTTGATTTTCTACCCTGAACAGATACAACATCGAGCGTATGCCAGATGATTATGGAGCCCCTCGGTTCTGATTCTTACAAGACAAAGTCCTCTATCTTCCTTCGACCAACTTTCTCAGTTGCCAGTTCAGTAAACATGCTATAGAATATAGAATAATTCCTGTAGCATGAATTATTTGCTCTGTTATGAGCTAAATATGATTAAATATACTCACTTCTTGATGCTTTTTGAAAATGATATTTTGTAGCCTTTAAAAATTTGTTGCATTTTTTAAATAAATCATATGTTCCAGTCATTATTCACATGATTAGATTTACTCAAAGTTTTTAAAGTTTATACTCAGTACTTAATAAGATTTGGTCCTGCCCTCACAACACTAAACATGGTTGAAGAGAAAAACATGCAAATGAATAAATACAGTAAAATAGTGCTAGGGTACAAGTATTAGGCAAGTTGTGGGCACATGAAGGAGAAAGGAAGGATTTCTTTTTATTTGGTTTTAATAGGAAGGGAGGAAAGGCTAGATGTGGTAATGTTTGAGTTAAACTTAAAAATAAATGAGTGCTTACACAGTAAACAAGACAAAGAAGATGAAGCACAGGAAGTAGTATGAATATGGAGACATGAACGTGATTGACTTGTACAGATAATTGCTGGAAAAACTTTATGACTAGAACATAGGAAATCATGGGGCAATAGGGGATATACCCACATCTGAGACCCATGAAGTGGGAGGTAAAAAGGAGGGGGCCTTATTTATCACCAAAGGGTTTGGACTTATCCTAAGGTCAATAAGGTGTTCTTAAATTGTTAAGCAGTAAAGCCAGGCACAGGGAGTGCATGCCTGTAATCCAACAACTTGGTGTAGGAGGATCACAAGTTTGAGGCCAGCCTTAGCAACTTAGCAAAAACCCTGTCTCAAAATCAAAATAAAAAGGGCTACAAATGTAGCTTAGTTGTACAGCACTCCTAGATTCAATCACTAGTACTGAGGGAAAAAAGAAATTAAGCAGACAGGTAATATGATCAGTATAGATATTTTAAAATGACTACAAGGTAATGTAAGAATAGATAAATAGATCATTAAAGCACAGTGGAAGGTCCATAAATAAGCCTATGTATTTATGGGAATTTGTTATATTAGTAAGTTGCTATTTCAAATCTGTAGGACAAGGAAATTATGTTAGAATGCCAAATAATGTGAAGTCATCTATTAGGGTTAGAATCCTGATTCCACCAGTTATAGTCTGTATGAGTTGGGTAAACCACATAACCATTTGATACTTTCCTTATTTCTTCTTTAAAATGTTTTATTTAATCCTCAAAACAAACCTGATAAGGTAAGATTAAATTGAGTAATACCTGGCCCAAGGAAGTGTTGTTCAATAAATATTAGTGATTATTGGGCTGGGATGTAGCTCATGGCAAAACGTCTGCCTTGCATTCGTAAAGCCTGGGTTCGACCCCAGTTCCAAAAAAGACAAATAAAAAAAAATCCCACTAAATATTAGTGATTATTGCATTATTGCAATGGCAAGGTGACTATATTTGGAGAAGAAAAATATTAAATTCTTATTTCACATGATTCATGAGAATATACTTTAAAGTAGATCAAAGACCTAAATTTTGTTTTGAACTAAGAAGTGTTAGAATAAAGAAAAATGTGTTCCTAACTTTTAGGTAGAATTCTTCAATAAGAAGCACAACACCAGAGGGTTGGTGTTGTGGCTCAGTGGTAGAGTGCTCGCCTAGCACGTGCAAGGTGCTGGGTTCAGTCCTCAGCACCACATAAAAATAAATAAATAAAATAAAGGTATTGTGTCCAACTACAACTAAAAAAAATTTTTTAAATCAAGAAGCAGAACACCATAAATAAGTTTGAATATATTAAATTATAATTTTCCATGCAAGACACTCCTCTCCCTAAAATAACAAGTGGCTGATAAAAAGATATTCTAAAATAATACAACAAGGATGTAGGGAAATGGGTACTCAAGTCATGCTGACAAAGGTATTTACCCCAAGAGAGATGAAAATGTGTTTACAAAAAGGCTTATACACCTATGTTCATAAATTCAAAAAGCAAAAACTTAAAACAACCTAAATATCCATCAGTAGGTAAATGAGTAAACATGTGGTATGTTCATACAGTGGAATACTATTCAGCAATGAAAGGAATCAACTACTGATTCAACAACATAGATTAGTCTCAAAACAAGTTGAACAAGAGAAGCCAGGTATAAAAGAATATACACTGTATGGTTCTGTTTAAATTCTAGGGAAAAAATAAATCTAAAACTATAGAAAGTAAATTATTGATTGCCTAAGGTCAAGATGAGGATGGCCAGGTATAGGCACAAGGGAATTTTGGGGAGTCCTGGAAATGGTGTTTGTTATGATGGTTACTTGAATATATTGATTTGTCAAAACACATTGAAGTATATATAGAATGGGTGTCATGTTGTATGGAATATTTGCCTCAGGAAGAAAAGAAGAAAAAGACATGCAAAAAAATTTTTTTAAATATGCTGTTTGAATATGCAATATGAACAATATTGGGGTTTTGCTTGTGGGCAATTTTGTGGAAGTTCCACATACACTTGAAAAAGTCTTATCAAGATAAATGTTTTAATATCCATAAAATCTACCCAATTGCTTAGGCCTTCTCTATCCTTTTCATTTTTGACACTTTGATCTGTCTCAAACTGAGAAAAATACATGAGGATTTCCTAATATTAGTGTATTTTGTCTATTTCTCTTTGCACTTTCTTAGAGTTTCCATTTCATAAGTTGCTACTGTGAGCCAGTAGTAGTGCATGCCTGTAATCCCAGTGGCTTAGGAAGATGGTGAATTCAAAGCCAGCCTCAGAAACATAGTGAGTCCCTAAGCAACTTAGTATTACCCTGTCTCAAAACAAAGGGCTAAGGATGGGGCTCAGTGGCTAAGCGCCTCCTGAATGATATCAATTCTGGGAGTGTGCTTGTCTTGTTTCTATCCAATTATTGTATATTTGGCATATGAATGCTGATCATTGTTCTTTTGGTGCATAGGTCTCTAGATCAAGAAAAGCCACACCTCCTGATACAGACACTGTTATATATACCCCTTGTTGTAGGGACTGCTGTACATAACCTTTGAATATTGCCTTGACTGGACAGGACTTTGAGATTGTCTCTGTAGCAGAAGAGGTTGCATATACTTTACCTGTGGACGGGAGAGTGAGTTTAACATTTGGTATCTAGAAGAGAGTGTGGCATTCAATTGTGCTGCCCACCAATTATTTCTGGCTTTTGTGTGGACCCAGGTTGGAAATGCTCTTCTGCACCATCTTTGAAGCTAGGTGTGGCAATGTGACTTGCCTTGATTAAGATGATATGTCATTTCTAGGCAGAAGCTTTAAAGTCAGTGTGTGATTATTGTGCTCCCTTTGCCCTGTGTTGGCAATCATGAAAGCATGGAGATGGAACCTTGCTTGGCTTGGGGCCTACAGAACATCCCAGCTGGCCCAGGATTGGAATATCAGGATGAATAATAAATACGAATTTGTTTAAAAAAAAAAAAAAAAAAAACAGGAATTGAACCCAGGGGCACCTAACCACTGAGCCACATCCCCAGCCCTTTTTTTTTAATATTTATTTTTTAGTTTTAGGTGGACACAACATCTTTATTTTACATTCATGTGGTGCTGAGGATCAAACCCAGTGCCTAGTGCATGCTAGGTGAGCACTCTACCACTAAGCCACAACCCCAGCCCTTTTTTATATTTTATTTAGAAACAGGGTCTCCCTAAGTTGCTAAGGGTCTCACTAAATTGCTGAGGCTGGCTTTGAACTTGAGATCCTCTTGTCTCAGGCTCTCAAGCTACTGAGATTACAGGCATGCACCAGTATCCTCAGCTGTTTGTTTTTATTACTGTAGCATAATTTAGCCTACACCAACTGATAAAGCGTGTGTTAAAAGTCCAAAAGCAAAAAAAGCAAAGGTATCCAAATGAAGAAAGTTAAAATTATCTCTATTCACAAGTGATGTGATCTTACGTGTAAAGAATCCACACAAAACAAAACAACAGTTACCTTGCTATTATTTGAATGTCCTTACCAAAACTCATGTTGAAATTTGATCTCCAGGGCTTGGGATGTGGTTTAGGGGTAGAGCGCTTGCCTCACATGGTTGAGGCACTGGGTTCCATCCTCAGCACCACATAAAAATAAATAAATAAATATACTGCGTCCATCTACAACTAAAAATAAATGTTTAATAAAAAAGAAATTCTATCTCCATTGTCAGGTATTAAGAAGTGAGACCTTTAAGAGATGATTAGCTGATGAAGGCTCCACCCTCATGAATTGGTTAACCTATTCATGAATTGATGGGTTAATGGGTTATTTTAAGAGTGAGTCTGTTAAAGTTTGGGCTTATCTCTCCTTAAGATACCCAGTGCCACCTGAGGACTCTGCAGAGCCCCCAACAGCAAGAAAGCCATCACCAGATGTGATCCTTCAACATTGAACTTCTCAGGCTCCAGAACAATAAAAAATAAATTTCTCTATAAGTTATCTGGTATGTGATATTCAATTATAGCAACAGAAAACAGATTAAGACAACTAATAAACAATTTCAGCAAAGTTTCAGGATACAAAATCAGCATTCCATTATCAGTTGCATTTCCATTCAATAACAATGACCAATCTGAAAAAGAAAGTAAAAAACAATCCCATGTCCTACAGCATCAAGAAGGATAAAACACTCAGGAATAAATCTGACCAAGGAGGTGAAAGATTTGTATAACAGTTCCCCCTTATCCATGAAGATGTATTCTAAGACCACCAGTGGATGCTTGAAACCACAGTAGTACCAAATTTTATATTGTTTATACTGTTTTTTCCTAATCCGATTTTCCTAGTATAAAGTTTTATAAATTAGGCACAGTAAGAGGTTAACAATGATACATATAACAATATATTGTAACAAAAGGTATATAAATGTGTTGATGCTTGGGCTTGGATTGTGGCTCAGCAGTAGAGCACTCCCTGGCCCATGTGAGGCCCTGGATTCAATCCTGAGCACCACATATAAATAAATAAATAAGTAAAATAAGGTATTATGTCCAACTACAACTAAAAAATAAATATTTTTTTAAATGTGTTGATGCTTGCTCTTTCTCCCTCAAAATATTTTGTAATGTACTTACCTTCCTTCTTGTGATAATATGGGATGATACCATGCCTGCATGCTGAGATGAAGTGAGGTGAATGCCAAGACCTAATTATATAACCTAATGCTCTTAAGCTTAC